TTCTAGGCTATTACTGAGGGTAAGTTCTGACTTATTCCTGTAGCAATCCACTAAACGTTTGAGGCATACATTTTTGGTATTTATTTATTTATTTATATCAAATGGCAGGCGTTTTGATGGTTATCATTAGCCCTTTAGTTGACTTCAGGCTTCACAGAGGGGAAGGAACATCAGAGTGAAAAAGTCGCGAGGGGGAGGGAAGAGAAGAGTGTTTCAAAGATGTAAGAGACAGACACAAAGGTAGAAAAAAGGTGAGGTGAGTACTGCGGATGCGGTCGATTATGACATACAGTGGGGTGATGGTAGTTTGAAGTCGAAAATCAGTTGCCGGTTCATAAGCTTTTGGCGTATGAGCTGCACCAAGTGGAGGTAAGACTATCGCGCATCCGCAAGTATCAATGTAGAGTCATTACTCTATACTTGCTGTCCGAAGTCAAGTTCTCTACACCACACCCACGTGCACTGAGTGAGTCATGTTATCATGGGAACGGCATGTATGTGCATTGGAGACTGTTGTTTTCTTTTGTAGGTTGCCATTTTCTTGTTTTAGGAGTAGTGTCTGTATTGTCAATGAAATTATAATTTGGAGAGTTGAGTTGCTTAAAAATTCTTAACATCCGGTGCAAGTGATCGTTGACTGTCTGTTCAAAAAGTAAAATTTTGAGATTTTCTCTTATTCATTGCAGAATTCTGGCCCTGGGCCTGAGTTTATTCGCCTTTTTAGTAATAAATTTTTCATCTCCGATTGTGTAAGCAGCAAATGATAATCTAATACGTGGCAATTCAATTATCCATATCTTTTGTAAGTAACATTTAGAAGTGGTGCTTTTTAAATGTTTTCCCCTAGGGCTGCAAAATTTTTATTTAAAGTAATTAAATAATTTTAAGTTAATCTTTCGTTGGACTTATTTTGCTTATAAGTGTTGATTTCATCTGCGTTTATTCGTTTCTTTTTATCAAGAATTGTCTTTACTTGGTGGAGCCTCTGCGTAAATATCTTTCTACATGAACAATGTGAGGCTAAAGACTGTATAGTGAAAAATAGCCAAAGCAAGTACTCGTATGGACAGAATGTCACCTATCTAGTTATATTTAGGGGGGGGGGGGTTGAATTTGGCTTCAACCAACACGACATTCATGTGTTGTTATAATTTATAAAATTTTTTATTTATCTTCCTTTTTGCTGCATTAACTTGGAGTCTATCATTAATTTATGCCGTATCAAATTGTTTTTGAGACTTTTGTCTCCATGCTTTCTGAATAAGCTCAGCCGTTTTTTTCATTCGAACACTTACTCCAATCCAAAACGCGCATTCACGAGTTAAAAAAAACGTGCAATTGGAGGAGGAAAGCAAATAAGGTCAAACCATTAAATCTGATTAAGGTCATGAATCTAAGGCTGGGTCCCACGGGCCAGGCATTTTAAGTTGCTCTGAGCGATTTGACCTTAAATAATGACCAAACTGACCTTCTCCGATAAATCTCTCCTGCCCCTAGTTTTGAAGGATATGGTATTTTGCTAGTCAAATTAAGTATGGGATTTTTATCGACGAGGAGGTCTGTCAAGCCAGAGGTCGGGAAATCGATACCAATAATTATAGTTCATTGATTCTAATAACCTACCGCACTTACCAGTCATAGCTAACGAGAAGAGTGTGAGAATGTGAGTTTTTTTTAAGAGCGGACACTTTGGAAGATTTTTACATCACCTTCTCTTTATGCTTGGGAGAGGCTTTTACCTATTTCTTTATGGGCAATCTTCATCTATGTTTTGGTCCATGTCGTTATACAACCCCAATTTGGAATTTATTATCAGTTTTGTTCATTTCTGTTTGTTTAATCAAAAGGCGGGACGATTCATCACATCGACACACATTTTTGACAGCCGGAGGCAGTTAGTAGAATTTTGTTTACTTTCGATGTCGACATATATTCTTTGTACTTTAAGTATTGGCAACGATGAATGGAGAAAATATTAAGATGAAACTAAATAACATGAATTGAACTTTGCACAACTCACAAGAATTTGCATTCTTCATTTACAGTGGCTCTTTTTATGCTTATGGTCTCGTTTGTGTGGTTAAAATTCTATTGGCACTGGCCAAGTTGGCGTAAACTAAATTATTTGTAACATCTCATTGACAGAAAAGAATGGGGGTAGTGACGGTTATTTTGCTGTCAAGTTTATTTGCTAAATGTTTACAAGCACCAATTTATAGTTTGCGCACTTTTTTTAATTAACCTTATTTACCATTTTTTTGTAGTAATTCCCAATATCGTTTCTCAACCGCCTCCAGTGACCTATCTGGATCGCTCTCGTCTAGAACTCACTTCCTCCCCCTCACATCCACCTTTATCTTGTGAAGTATGGCCACCCACCGCCAATATCTCCCTCTACATAGCCCACCCCTATTTGGGAGGTGGAAGTAATTCTCCCTCGGGACCTCGATCTCACCTCTCCCTTGAACCCATTCCCACTGGTCCAAGCTCTGCACCCTTCCGTATCACTCGGCGTATTGTTCCCTCAAATTCTACACTGGGGTTGATAGATCCTATGACTGCGTCAGTACCGGCGTTCTCAAATGCGGCGGCCAATTTGGAAGTATTAGGTGGTGATGGATCCAATGTTTGGGCGAGCGTGGACTCGGTGGATGTGCATTGTAGGGTGGATACCAAGTTCGGAGCTGTATTGAGTGCTCCTTTTAGAGTGGTGATTTCAAGTAAGTGCTAAATCCCTTTTCTCCAGCTTTGAGATGCATGTATGCATCGGTTTAGCAACGCTTTTTCAAAACAGTTACAAGGTGTGCAATCTGTTTACTTTAAGATTTACGCTGACATTTTGGTGTGACAATGTTAGTATGCTTCTCCTGTGTTTTGACAAACTATGAAGTCGATTTTTAGATCTAAGCGAGATTTGAATACATTTGTTCAGTAAATATTTTTTATGTTTCCATTCCGTGTGTGGTTTCTCCCTTTTTTCCGTGTCTGCGTTCTAGTTTTATTACAGTTTAAGCAAATATATATTTGTGCTTAGAACACCCATGTTGACTGTGGTCTTGACTGATGTGGACGCAAGTAAATCATGTAGTGAGCTTCAGAAAAATGCCAGTAGAAAAAAATGGAGTCGGTAGAGAATTACTCTATCTTAAATAAACTTGAAACTCGAAATTTTAGGGGTGCTGGGTTTGTCCCATTAATCAGAACGCTTTGGGGTCAGCATTCATCTTGGTTATAGAGTAATAGTATAATGAAGATCTTGAATCCTCCCAGTGCGATTGGCTATTGCTTTTACTGAGTATGACATTTGACATTGCAGATGTAATTGTTAATATATATATATATATCGAGCTGAAAGAAAGCGTTTTCTAAATCTCTCCTTGTCAAGCGACCAATACCACGGAACCCGGCATCATAAATCTTTTTCTATCACCTCACTTTCATTTTGATGTGTATCAATTTTCTTCTCACCACCTATTTTGTGGCGAGGACCTTATGTTTTGATTCAAAGCTTGGGATTCACCTTAATTATGTGAAATCAACTAGTGAGAATCCAGTCCTTACGACTTTCCAAATTTGTTGTCAAATCCGTTTACCTAATCCGGCTCTGTTCTTGCCTTACAATGGCTAATTTCAAGAAAATCTGGTATGCTGCGAAGTTTGATTTGCCTATTCACTTGACAGGTGTACGTTTTAACAATGTTACCTGTTTAGTCTATGTTCTTTATCTCTACTCCGTCCTTATATCCACAACTTTAATTATGCTCGCGTATAGATCACGTGGAGTCAGAAAATGTATGCAAATCTGCGGAATGCTCCATAAAAATGACGAAGAAAATTCTGGGTCATTAGTATTACATGCTGACTTTGGATAAAGAATGTAAACAAGTTTTGAATCTGACGAATTTCGTACTTAATAATCGGCGTATTAGCGATTCCATCTTTGTTTCTGTGTTTATGTGCTCACAGTTCTCTTTTCACTTTGTAATACCTCATTTCCGTGGAAAACCAGTTGGTTTTCTAACAAGTTTCCGGATTTATAACAACTTCACATTTGCTATCAAGTGTCTGGTAGTTACCTCCATTTTTTTCAGCGTGCAAATCCTCTAGTTCTTCCTTCCCTTGCATCATCCTATTAAGTGCTCCTTAAATTAATCGTTCTTCGTGTTCCTATCGGGACTAATGCATTCCAACTTTATCTTATTCTAAATTCTATTTTTATTCCATTCGTTTATCGTAGCTTTTACACATAATGTCTGCGCCGTTTATTCCATTCCCTCACTCCCCACACCCTGGAGACTAAATCATGCATTAAATCACCGGAAAAGCGTGTGCAAAAGAATTCCCTGATACAATATTCCTAGACGAGTTAGAAGTAGGAAAAAATACATGCGCGCCTCTATGGGATTGTGGGCGCACTATAAATGGTTGGCTAACTGGCTAACGAATATTGGCGATTTTGAGTCCTTTATCGGTGTTATTACATTACCCAAGTCTTATTCGCAGTAATCCATTATTCGGTACAGGGGTGGGGGGGGGGGGGGGGGGGGGGGGGNGGGTAGGGGATGAGCCTAGGCTTGTATAGGAGACACTTTTGTGTACTCGTCACAATGCAACGAAAATATTCGACTAGATGTCCTAACACAGTAAGCAAAGGTAATTGCGAACGAAGCAAACATTTTCTCTCCGGATAAAGGCGTTTTAAGGAAGAAATTGGTCGTGCAACTACATTTTGCGTTCTTATGTTTATTCCAACTTGAAGGTGGTCTAACGATACGAAGAGAAAGTGTCTTCAATAATATGACTTTCATGAGTAAATGCCACTAATCAAAGTTGGAAGCGAATATTATCAGGCTTCGTAGAGCCTCGTGTGAAAATGCATTGTGGCTATCTGTCAAAGCAATTAATTGTTCTACTTATAACGATTTTCCATCCACTAAAATATGAATTTATTCATCCATGTGCCGTTTTGTTAGTTTACAACGGACAGCAGGGAATTGGTCAATCCCAATGGTAAACAAGATGGGGAGGAGGTGAGGGGGGGGGAGATATATAATGCTGGTTTCTTATCGGTTTAATATCTCTTTGCCCAAGGTGAGTGCCGAAGATGCTTTTCTTTAACTGGCTCTGTAGTTTTTTTTTATGATTCACCTGACTTATATATGATGAAGCTATTAATTATAACCTTTTAACTACATTCATTCTCTCCTTTCTGGTTAATACCTAATTTTTCATCCAAAACGGAATAGTGTTCGGTTTGATTTCCTGTTTTACTCTGATGGGGTAGGTAAACACTTATGCCAAAATGAAATTAAAGCAACTTAGTAGACCAAATAATTGGAAGTTATTCTCCAAGTGAACTATTCTGAAGTTAGTTAGTTTTTTTTTCATTTCTCTCCTAGGACTTCCAGAACCCCTAACACCCACTGGCTTTTCACAGACCCGGGTGAAGGAATTTATTAAAGGCAATGTAGCCTTTGTGAGCTGTCGTATTCCACCGGATAGCCAACCCCCGCCAATAGTTCAGTTCTATCTTAACGGATCACTTATTACCAATTCTCGTAAGTCTTTCTTTCTTACCCACAAAAAATTGATATTTTAATTCATTTGGTCATTGTGGTACAAATCTTCATTTCCTAATTGGGTACGCTCTAATCAATAACTGTGACATTCATGCAGATCGTTTTAATCGATAGTGTAGTGGGCGTTAATAACCTTAATTAATTGGATAATATATTCAGCTTTTCAGCCATCGCATAAAAAATATTGAATTAATTCAAGTTAATTAATCACCCCACTGGCCACTGCTCAAATATTAGCTAAGAGCCACTCTTGATAAAATTTATTTCAAATGGCAGGCGTTATGATAGGTATCATTAGCCCTTTAATTGACTTCGGGCTTCACAGAAAGGAAGAGGAACACCAAAGTGGCAAAAAGTCGAGAGGGGGGACAGAATAATGATTCACAGACGTAAAAGAGACAGACAGACAGACACAAAGGTAGAAAAAAGGTGAGTACTGTGGAATTAGTAGAATATGAAATACGGTGGGGTCTTGGTAGTTTGAAGTCAGAAGTCAACTGCCGATTAATGGACTTTTTGCCGTATGAGTATACGTTGCCCAGGGTGCACCACGTGGAGGTAAGTCTATCGCACACCCCCTCTTGATAAAATAGAATACGCTTTTTGGCCTCATTATGGATCTATCATATCTCACAAATAGAAAATATTACTGAAGTGGATTGTTGAGTTAAATCTAATTATCCCCTTTATATCCTAGATATCGACGGGAAAGGTAAGAGCCCCTTACATTCTGACTTGGCCTACATATTTTTGTTCGCTGTCTACAACGCATTAATGACCTTTTATTGTTGTATTCTTGTGGTCTATTTTGGTGTTTTGTGTTGATTTCTATAATTCCCCCCATTCAATGTGATTTGTTTTAATTTGCCTTTGATCCGTGACTAGATGGCAACTTTGTTTACCTCTTTATTCTTGCCTACAGAGAAATACAAGCAAGTTCTTCGACCTAATGAAGATCAGGTCATACTGCTAATCAATAGTTTCAAAGTCTCAGATGAGGGTGACTATCGATGTACCCTAACCAATCCAGTCACAAAAGCTACTGTTTGGTCACCGGAAATCATTCGGCTGCAAGTTAGAAGTAAGACATTTTCTACAATTCCCTACTTTGCGTGAATTAGATTTCGGATTATTAATAACCTTTTTAAACGAAATGCCAATAATCCTAACAGGGAACGTTGCTTTTTAATCCCCATTTTCTGTTGATACGATTCGTTTAGTTGCTAACGCGAAATCGTGTCCCATCGGCAATATTGAGCATTTGTGGGAGAGTTTTCAAGCTATTAAGAATTCAATAATTCCCTTCTGTCAACTGAATTTATTTTGGTTTCTTTCTATAAATTTACTCGTCGGACATAAATGGGTTACTGAATATAGGTCTTAAATCCTGCACAATTTCGACCATCTCTTTTTAATTGATCGAGTATTCGAGTAGATATACATGGTATGTCCTTGGCGATGTAGGGGAGTTAATTGTTTTTAACTTACCGCATGAACCGATACCATGGTCATGAATGCCACTAAGAAGGTGTAAGCTAAATTTCCGTTAGTTCATAGATCTCTCAAAATGAAGATATAGTACAAATGACTTTCCTATGTATAAACATAGCTTTAATACACACCTTCATTGTTTTTATTTCCCTTTCCTCGTGTAGCACCGGACAAGCCCGTTAACGCTCGTATTATCCTACCACTTGCTCCCCAAGACAATAGTTCAGCCGCCGCAACACGTCAACTCGTTGTACGAGAGGGTGACAATGTAACCCTCTTCTGCATTATGGAGGGAGCGCCACCACCTGAAGTCCATACCTATCCCCACAACACTCAAAAAAATCGCTACATTATGGATCAAGAATTTGGTGAGCTTGGGTGTTTTGTAAAGCAAGATTCATCTGTATTGCTAGTTCGATCTATTTGTCAACTATATTTCACTATATCTCAGAGCATAGAAAGGGAGGGAGGAAGGAAGATAAGGCAGAGATGAATTTACCGACTCAACATGGACTTTGTATGTGGATATTTGGCCTTGTTTCTGTCGATTAGACACCAAATCCCCAGTTTTGTTCTGATCTTATGAACGGCATGTACCCTCTTATTGATAAAGATGATAGCCAACTTAAAGGCACTCTGCATTGATTCATCGTCCCGAGACAAGCCAGGTACTGTTTGGGGTTGGGTCTTGTCCGTTGGCAACCTACCAACAGTTCCGTTTTCAATACTATAGTTTGATTTCTATTAGTTGAGAACATAATGAAACTGCAGGTAGCCAATCGAGCTCATCCAGAGGATGACAATGGTATAACTACTGACAGAATTTGGGATATTAGAGATTTGGCTTAATTAACGTGATCTAATGAGTCAAGTTTAATAAACTGGTATAAATGGAATCTACAATGGATGAGAATTCGTGTATTTGGGACGCAAAAGTATATCCAAGTTTGTTGACCAAACAATGATATCAATCGGCCGGTTAATAATCTCTAGACGCAAAAAGCACAAATTTCACAGTGCGCCATAGTACAAATCTATAGTTTAAGTATTAGAACATGGAATGGAATAAATGTGCATATTAAATCTGAAGGGCAACTTTTGTATAACTTTGTGTACACTGAACTTAAAACTCTATTTTTCTTGTTTGTTTTTCTTAACCCTATTAGACTGTTAATTATTCTCTGTGTTCAGTTTTCTTCTGTCAAAGAAAATTGAAAACGTCGAGAGAATGAGACAAAGTGTTAAATTTTAACGAGTCCCAATTCGGGGTCACTCATAGTAGTGTCAGTTAGCTTTCACCAAGAATTAACTACCAGTCGAGTTTATGGATATATTGCTTGTTCAGACACTGCATTGTGGGAGGAAATTTCTAAATTCATCACTATTTAATAATGAGACCTATTTTCCCTCATATTTTCACAAATAAGTTCATTTTATGAAGTTAACAGTGTACACGACGTGCTTGGATATAATTGTGATGGGATGTTTTGGTATTTATTACCCATGATCTTATTAAAATTGTATTCTCAGAGGATTACTTTAGCAATGAGGGAAGCAGGCTTCGTGGCTTTTATTGGCATCCTAAGTGTTGCTAGCTGTTATTTGTGTAAGATGTAGGATTCACGAAGTTGTTTCAATCGAACGTGCTAGTTCGAACCTTTCTTCACTTTCTTGCTCTTTTCTTAAGCCGAGTGCAATCGCCATATTTTACTGCCTCAAGCAGCGCTGTCACAGGATACGGATTATCAGGCTTACTCGCCTCTCCCTTTTGTCTGTAAAAGCCCATACACGACGATTTGAAGACTTCGCGTACCAATATCGGTTTTCGCACTCCCTTTTTCTTTTTGCTTTTAATTTCCCATTTTTCCGTTATCTTTCTATATCTAGACTCTGTAACTGCTTTACACCTTTGCTGTGATTCACAACAAAAGGTTTATTTATTTATTTATTTCAAATGGCAGGCGTTATGATAGGTATCATTAGCCCTTTAGTTGACTTCGGGCTTCACAGAAAGGAAGAGGAACACCAAAGTGGCAAAAAGTCGAGAGGGGGGACAGAATAATGATTCACAGACGTAAAAGAGACAGACAGACAGACACAAAGGTATAAAAAAAGTACGGCGCTCTATCCAACTAAGCTACAGGGGCTTCTCACAACAAAAGGTTTAGTTGAAGAATCGATTGTTACTAAAGTAGGGGTAAAATATTCGATAAGTAAAAGCGATTGCTTACCTTTAAGAATATAGTTTTTG